ACCGAGTTGAAGTAGTCCGTCGACCGTCGGGGACCCCATCCCCTCCCCAACATTCAGCATACCGCCCCAGCAGAAACGCCAAAAGGGCTTGTCTGCTTCCTTTGATTTGGGGATGGGGCCAACCAAAACTTGTAGAAGTGCTCAAATTGAATTCTTTTTTCCGAAAATTCCCTTGATCTTTTCAGGTTTACCACCGATTCCCGAAGCTGCCACCCCCGTGACGCCGATCACGCCGAATATGGATCTGAAGGAGGATGAAGAAAATGAGGACTTGGATTCGTCCCAGAAGTCGTGACCAATCAATAACCTATGTGAACCGCTACAGATGCACGGCATGCACGGCTTCGACCGTTTCCCAACATCCTTCGATTGTTGTATCATGAACGCTATGCATGTCATCGAAACTGTAACTATACGTACTAGTTACTCAAGTATAATTCGTCCTCGGGTAGCTGTCCTAGGCCTTTCATCATTTGAAGTCGGGTGTTAGGTGACCACAATTTGGATCATAGATTGATTATCGAATCAAGTGACGTCACCAATGTGTATTTCTCATCCAGTGATCATCCTCATACACTTCTACGTACAGTCAGCTCTGTTTTTCTGATTTGGAATTTGAATAAATGTGTCCTTTGGTTTCTCTGTGATAGATACATATAAAAAGATATATGCAGTGCGTGGAGGCACTGCGTTACACTCGGTACAAATCAGCCTCTAAAGGCACAGGTTGGGATGAATGTGCTGTGTTACTTGGTCCGAAATTGGACAGGAATTGTGATGATGAACGCTACTGCGAAGAAAACGACAGGAAGCACCCCGGAAACAGTATAATCTCTCTGGTGCGGTCGGCCGAGATGCGGAAAAACATGGGGGGGGTTATGAAGGCACAGCGCTGAGAGCAGAGGGAAAACGCGAGAGAGCACGTGGTACGCAATAGGGCGCAGACGCCACGTACTGCGGTTTCTAGTCGCGTGAGTACGCCAACATCGTGAATAAGAGTCCCA